TAGGAATAGACCCAGAGATGATACAGGTGTTGGCAGTCGCAGAAGAGAACTTTAAAATAACTACTACCTATTAAGGAACCTACAAGAACAGATGGATGTCGGGGCGCCTGGGTGGCTCAGTCGGTTAAGTGTCCGACTTCGGCTCAGGTCATGATCTCACAGTTTGTGGGTCCGAGTCCCGCGTCGGGCCCTGTGCTGACAGCTCAGAGCCTGGAACTTGTTTCAGATTCTGTGTGTGTCTCTCTCTGACCCTCCCTGCTCGCGCTATCTCTCTCTGACCCTCAAAAATAAATAAAAAAACATTAAAAAAGAAAAGAAAAGAAAAGAAAAGAACAGACGGATGTCAAGGACGAAGATATGAAAACACTGGGACAAATATGTAGACTGAAACTAACTAACCAGAAACCCTAAAGCTAGAAAACAGTTTGCTTAGCTGAAATGAAACATCCAGTTGTGGGGGTAAAAGTATCATACTCACAACTGAAAAAACAATTTGGTGAAATTGAAGTAGGTCAATAGAAATGATCCAAACTGGAGCACAGAGAAAAATTTTGAAAGCTGGGATAAAATGAACTGTGCTCAATGAAATAAAGGCCAGACAGCCTGACGCAACCTAACATACGCGTAATTGTAGACCCATAAGGAGGAAATGGAAAGAAGAAAGTTTTTTGGGGAAAAAAAAATGGCTGAAAATTCTCTAAATTTTATCACATGCAACTACTCACAGATAGAGGAAGCTTTTTACCCCTGACAGACAAAAAAAAAAAAAAAAAAGACCACACCTATGCATATTCTCAAACTTCTGAAAACAAAGTTAAAAAAGGAAGACAAGAGAAAAGACGGGAAAAGACACTTATATTCATGAAATACTGACAATAAATGCAGCTAACTTCTCATCCCAAACGACAAAGGTCCATGTCAGAACACCTTTAATATCTTGGGGGCCAGAGGATATTTTCAACATGCAATTCTGTACCCACAGAAAATAGCTTTCAAAACACGCAGGCCACGTAGCGAGATTCTCAGGTCTCAGATTTTCAGAGAGGTACAGGAATTTGTGATGAGTAGAACCCATGGTTAAAGAGATGCTAAAGGAAGTTCATCGGGCAGAAGTGAAATGGCCCAGGTCCGAAACTTAGATCTACAGGAGGGAACGGGGCACAGCAGAACATCAGGACTAAACAGGGGTCACCTTCTCAACAAATAAATACTTTGGATCATGCACTCCCATACCTGCTCCCAGGAGACAAAGCAATGTGGCTCCAGGAGAAAAGCGTTTAAGATAAAACCTGCAAATACAGGAACTATAAATATTTACCTTTTACATAACACTGCACACCTTATTTAAAAAAAAAAAAAAAACCCTTATATCACCTGTAATCTACTTTATTTCCCCCAGAGGAAAAAACACGGAAGTAACATTTCTAGAATAACTTTTTTGAAAGGGTTACATGTGGGTGCTGACCCATTACTGAGCTTGGATGCACGGAGCATCTTGAGATGTGCTCGAAGGAACCGTTTACAATGTGTCCAAAACAAATGTGGAAATACAATGGTCAATGGCACTGTGGCAAGTGAAAATATCCCATAAATTACTGGTGGCGGAAACAGAAGGCAGCAGGCAATGTGAGGATGAAAATTCTTCCTGGTGGGATTTTTTTTTTCAAATCCTGCAGGTATTTATAGAAGAGCTAAGGAAATCAGGCACACAATCGCCCTCTCTCATAGAACTCACCTTGCGAGTGCTTCGAAAGGTTAAAATTAATCATTGCAAACTCTGAGAAATGAGGAGCCTTTAATGTAAGGAACGAGGTGAGAGCTATAATAGCCGATTAAATTTGCAGAACGTGCTGAGTGTCTCCTTCCACACCTTCAGAAGAGACACAATGACCTTCTAAATCTTCTAATTACCCACAGGAAACCAGCAGTCTGTCTGTCTGCCCAGCTGTCATCTGGCTGGCTAACATCCACGCTTAGGACGCTAAATTAAAGTCAAGAGGTAAAAAACATAGGGACTCTAGTTTGAAAAATTCATGACAATAACGGCCATTTCATGGTAAGCAAGGAAGATAAGTAGCCTTGAGTATATGCCGGCCGTAAATATACACGCGGAATATTGTTCAAACTTCTCTTGGAGATAGGCTGAGTGTTGGCCAGCAAACTTGCATCAAGCACTTCACTGTAGGCATCAGGTGTCAAGAACGCTATGCTATATAGAAAAAACATATGTGGTGGGGAGACTGAGAAAAATCCATGCAATCAACACTCAGACAAGTTTTTCCAAATGGACCAAGCTCCAGAAGGATCATTCTGGAAAATCAGAGAGTCTATGAGTAGAAGAAAAATGGTAGGTGTCTATTCGCCTCAAGATAGGTCTACAGTCAAGGTATGAATCTCTCTCAGAAGTCAAAGGGTGGTAGATGCCTACACAGAGACGCTATTATTACCTGGTACCGTAATGAATACCAAACTGATGTCATGGTATTTTTGTTTCCATCACCAATTAAGTATTTTATAGTTAGCTGGATGACCCAGACATTCAAAAGATGTATTTTCATCTCGCCGGGATTGCACACAACTGACTTTTCCTGGAGCAGGTGAAGTTATGAAGAACTGAGCACTGTTTTCTCTTAATGAAAGCAAACTGGATGTAATACCTGAGTAAATATCCCATGAATCAAACAGCTGGCCCCTCTTCCCGCTAAAGATGGAGAGAGATACTGCTGGGAGAGTGATATTAGAAAAGATGGAAACTGATCAAGGAGACATTTCCGAAAAACACAAAGCAAAGCCTTTCAGGGAAGGTCAAAGACACCATATTTCTAGTGGGATCACGCTGACGGTTTAGGATTCAGGAATTCACCACAGCTTGTGTGAGTGTACGGCAAATGTCCAAAACACAACTACGTTCTCGCAGTATTTTTAAGAGTATTGAAATTCTCCAATCCCATTTGGATTCACTGGGACGCTGTTATGACTTTCTGTTGTTTGCTTGTGAGGTGATGTTGGGTTTCGTATTTTTATTTTTTGTTTTATTTTATGTTCTTTTATGTCATTTTATGTTACTGTATTGTTTTGCTTTTTTGGATCATAGAGCAAGAGTACTTGCTCCGAATGAGACGGCTTTCATCAGCAGGTTATTACTCAAGAGTAATAAATATGTTGGCACCAGGGATTCATGATGATAAGGTATTGAGACTTGTCCCTGGAAACTATCTCGGTTGAGAAATAAGCCATATTGCCTCGGTTCCTGAAAACAGTCGTTAATTTATCCATCAAAGAGCTCAGCTAGTTGAAGGCTGGTATGTGGGTCGCCTCCCATCCCAACCCAAAGTAGGACCTCAACTGACCATGACTTCAAAGGCAGAAAGTACGGGAAAGTAAGGAGGATGAAGCATTCGACCAAGAACTTAGACTTTTCTTTTCTTAGATTAAGTCCAGAGAAGGGGTGGAGGTAGACAGGAGAGACATTAGGTATTGAGAAATCATGGTGCTCTTGACAGTAAGCTATGCAATGTTAAGATGTGTGCTTGCTTGCTCAAAAACAAAACAAAACAAAACAAAACAAAACAAAACAAAACAAAAAACTGCCAGAGACACAATTTCCCAATGCAGGAATCAAGGAAGAGCCATAATCTATGAGTAACTGTGGTTCCCATGGGCCTTGTGCCAAGCTGTGTTACTGGGAGTGTGTGGGCAAGAATTTCGGAGGTTCCAGCAGGTGCAGGCTGGTCTGGAGAGAAGTGTCTCCACCTGGGCTCAGCACTAGAGAGCTCCTGAGCTAGACAAGGTCTTCCGTGATTGCAGGCAGATGAACAGATGGATGGAAGGTGGACAGAAGGATGGTGGATGGATGCATGTGTGGATGGATGGATGGATGCATGGATGGATGGGTAGATAGATGGATAGATGGATGGGTGGACGGATGGATGGATGTGTGGATGGATGGAAGACTGGATGGATGCATGGATGGATGGATGGATGGATGGATGGTGGATGGTGGATGGTGGATGGATGCATGTGTGGATGGATGGATGGATGCATGGATGGTGGATGGATGCATGGATGGATGGGTAGATGGATGGATAGATGGATGGGTGGATGGGTGGATGGATGTGTGGAGGGACAGAAGGATGGATGTGTGGATGGATGGAAGATTGGATGGATGGATGGATGGATGGATGGATGGGTGGATGGATGGATGGGTGGATGGATGGATACATGGATGGTTTCTGTGCCGAAAACAACCATTTCTGTGCAGGGCAAGTAGCAGAAGGAATTGGATCCCATCCACAACAGCTGCTTGGTGTTGCACAAAGCACCAGACAGGCTCTGGGCTCCCAACAAGCCCGTCACAAAGGGTGGAGGCAGCTGGGACTTCCCCTGCGCACAGGGTGAAATGGCAACCTTCATGCTGCCTGGCACGAACCAGGTGAGAATCAGGGCACCCGGCACACAGGCTAACTGAACGTGCCCCCCACGGGTTCCCTTCTGTCTCCCAGCTCATTAAGAACAGCCACCATAAGCTTGGACAGGGGAAGCCGGGGCCTCTGGGACACGCCCAAAGCACCATGTTGGGTGCACGAAATCCAAGAAGGTGGCATACATCTCCTTTTCCTAAGTATAAGGCACACGAGCAGGGCTGAGACAGGGGTCAAGAGCACTTGGAGGCGGGCAAGGTGTTACAGGCAGGTGGCCATTCCTTGGGTCGAAACAGTGGAGAGAGTGTCGAAGGGTTTGCTACAGAGCAGGGTCGAGCCAAGGGCCAGACGCGCCTGCCTACTCAGAGGAACACTCCCACGGGGACAGGCTCGCTGCCACTCGCCACTCTTCCGTGGCCACCGGAAATCCCCAAAACAGACGCGCAAGAGGGACAGCCAACCCTCAGCCCTGAATCACGTCCACCACCCACGCCCCCGATCAAACACCCAGGTCTGCTGAGAAGCCCCGAACGCCGAAACCAGACCAAGGGAAAGAGCCGCCGGGCTAGCACAAAGTACCTTTGTCGTTCGACGTCTCCTCTTTGATTCTCCTCACGACATCTTGCGCTTTGCTGTGATTGTTTCCAGCTACAAGGAAAAGAGAAGATAGATTGAGTGGGGGGGCGGGGGCTGTCCAAGGTGCAGTCGAGCACCAGACAAAGGCGTGTGGAGCTGCAACCCCCTGCCCTTGAGTGGGCTCTTGACGGCTTCTCTCTTTGCCCTGGTGCTGAACGGGGTCATCCGATCCGTTCCCACTCACTCAACCTACCAACTGAGGAGGCATTTCCTCCAGCCAGAGGGACAAGGAGCACACGTTTGTTTCATGTTTTCCTTTCCGGTGGTGACAGGGGCGTGGGGAGCCTGGCGGCTGAGCACATGGGCCAGGGGTTGGCGGAGAGGCAAGAATCACATGGGCATAAAAATGTGGGTGGAGGCGGACAGAACAGAAATACACATTTTTTTTTTAATTTTTTAATGTTTTATTTATTTCTAGGAGAGAGAGAGAGAGAGAGACAGCGTGAGCAGGGGACGGTCAGAGAGAGAGGGAGTCACAGACTGAAACAGGCTCCAGGCTCCNGGAGTCACAGACTGAAACAGGCTCCAGGCTCCGAGCTGGCAGTCAGCACAGAGCCCGACGCGGGGCCCGAACCCACAAACCGCGAGATCATAACCTAAGCGAAAGTCGGACGCTTAACCGACTAAGCCACCCAGGCGCCCCTGGAAATACACATTTCTAAGAAAGGGGGTAACAGCCAGGGGAGAGAGAGAGACAGAGACAGAATCCCAAGCAGGGTCCACGCTCAGTGCAGAGCCCGACTTTGGGGTCGAACTCAAGAACCGTGAGATCATGAGCTGAGCCGAAATCAAGAGTCGGATGCTTAGCCGACTGAGCCCCCTGGCGTCCCTAATGCATTGGGGGTCTGAGCTGTGAAAACGATCATGGGATGCTCCCACTATGGACAGGGTCACCCAGGGGGCTCAGTCCGTGGGCCATGCCACTCTTAATCTCAGGGCTGTGAGTTCAAGTCCCTGGTGGACCTAGTTAAAAAAAATAATTAAGGGGCACCGGGAGGGCTCAGTCACTTGAGCGTCCAACTTTGGCTCAGGTCATGACCTCACAGCTCTTGAGTTCGAGCTCCGCGTTGAATAGCAACTTAATTTTCCTCCATTACTCTTCCAAGGTTATTTGTTCATTTAAAGTTTTATATTTTTTCTTAAGAAAGTTCTAGTAATTAACATTTTCTCAGGAAACTGTCCTAATTTAAATGCAAATTTAAAAATTTATTAACAGGGGCGCCTGGGTGGCTCAGCAGGTTAAGCATACGGCTTCGGCTCAGCTCATGATCTCGCGGTTCGTGGGTTCGAGCCCCGCGTCGGGCTCTGTGCTGACAGCTCAGGGCCTGGAGCTGCTTCGGATTCTGTGTCTCCCCACCCCCCGTCCCTCCTGTATTTGTGCTCTGTCTCTCAAAAATAAATAAATATTGAAATAATTTAAAATAACAAGTAAATTAAAAACATTTCTTTAATTAAAGACTCTGACTCGGAGCCTGGAGCCCACTTCCGATTCTGTGTCTCCCTCTCTCTGCCCGTCCACCGCTCACGATCTGTCCCTCTCTGTTTCAAAAATATATAAATATTTAAAAATCTTTAAAAAAGACTATTATGAGATTTGGGGTTAAAACACTGAATGAGGTTGCTTTGCTGTCTTATTAGGTCAATGTGGGGTACGATTTCCGAACGTGCCTGAGCGCCCAGCCCCAAGAGGAAGGGGTGCCCGATGGGGTTGGTGCTGTGGGGGAGAAGCTTGGGAGACCCCCCTGCCCCCACACTGGCATCAGAAACCGGGGACCCAGGCAGATTTTCAGCCCCTTAGAGGGAGGCGCTAACCCGGAAACTCCCTGCAGGGGTGAGTCAGGGCAGCGCTCCCTCGGAAGAGGATTAGAGCTGCCCTCTGCGGAACACAGGCATGGGCGTGAGGCTCCGGGCACCCTGAGCTCTGCCCGGGAGCGGCCGGTCCCACGGGGCGGGGCTGGCTCATACCCCCCGCTTCTCAGCCGGGTCCAGCCCCTGCTGGCCAGGTGTGCTCCCTGGAGCGGAACCATCTTGAAACTCGCAATGAGAGGCGATGACCAAGCAATTCTTTTCGGAGGCGTTTCTGTGTGCTGTTTGCCTCCGTGCATGCATGAGCTCCTTTCTGAAATCCCGAGCAATTTTTAAACATCAAACAGCCACCGAGGCATGAACTGGGTGGCCCGGCGAAAGAGTGCATGAAGTGAGACAGAAGTTCTACGCTCCCGGAAAAGACGGAAAGCGAGGGCCAGCAGGTGGGACTGGTCACGTTGGCTGCCTCCGTCGGCGGGCAGCTCACTACTCTCACTCAGGCGTGGCATGAGTGCACGTGATCGGGGAAAGGTCGTCGTGATCGGCTGGGTGTGGAAACTGGACTCTGCGGCATCACGAAGAGTTTTTCCTGCATTGACTGAGCACATCCTGAATAACAGAATTTGAGCAGGATGGACCTTGGGCACAGAGTCCGTGAGTCTGCCGTCTGCTCGTGCTTCCTCTGCGGGGGCTAAGCTTTCCACGCACCACACATCCCACAGATAATGTCCCACCAGTAACGCTGCAAAGGGACAGAGTCGCTTCTGTCTCTTTGGATTGTATCCTATGCACCAGATTTCAAGAATCTGCAAGACTCAACCTAACTTCCATCTGTGTGTGTGTGTGTGTGTGTGTGTGTGTGTGTGTTTTAACGATGTTGAGTCTAAACCGAGGTCAGCAAACTACGAGCCTGGGGCCAAATCTGATGATCCCCTTGATGTAAAAAGGAAACGCCAAAATATTGGAACAATGGCTATGCCTGTAGCTTTAAATATTGGCAATGACCACTTTATTGCTATGAAGGCAGACATGCTCAGGGAGACACACACTTAACCAAATATCTGTTATCTGGCCCATCACAGAAAGAATATACTGACCCTTGGACTCAACCTTGGATGGCTGTTCATGAAGAATTACGAAGAAAGATCCTCCACGAACATAGTGTTTTCAAACAATAAGAACTGAGATCTTGTGAGCACGTGAGAAACTGACTGATTGATGTATCTGCAGCAATATTAACGTGCTCGAGTTAAATCCAAGTTCGGTTTTCAATTCTTTAGCAGGTAATTGATTACCGTCTCGGCGTTAACAGATGCGGGATTAGCAGATTTGAAATTGAGTAGACGCAGGTCTTTTTTTTTTTTTTTTTTAATTTTTTTTAATGTTTTATTTATTTCCAGGAGAGAGAGAGAGACAGCGTGAGCAGGGGAGGGTCAGAGAGAGAGGGAGTCACAGACTGAAACAGGCTCCAGGCTCTGAGCTGGCAGTCAGCACAGAGCCCGACGCGGGGCTCGAACCCACGAAC